GTCCAATGTGCCCTTTTCCCTTGGTGAGCTCTCTATACTGCCAGCCAGGAGCCCTGTTGCCTATGACTCTGTCAAGCCCCAGGATCTCAGGATGAGAATGAGGTCCAGTCTGGGGGCATTTCACAGCAGCGGTCCTGGCCCATTGGAGTTCCCAGCCAGGTTTCTCTGCTTCTTGTTGCCCTTGTTGGTTCATAGAAGCCAGTGCTGCAGTAAGCAGCCCCTTCCCAGACCCACTTCCCAGGCCCCAGAACCCAGCTACAGGTCACATGTCAAGTTTCCAGGAGCTGCTGGGTGTTTTGCCTCTACAGTGGCCTCCAAACCTTGAGGATATGCTTAGACTGTGTCAAGCCCTTTAGAGTGGTGATCCCCATCTGTTCTCTGCAGCCTTATGAGGGTGACATCCCATTTTACAGAAGCAGAATCATGGCCCTAGTGCCATTCGGGTGGGTGGGGGGCATTCCACTGAGCTGTTAGGGAGGCAAGCCTCGAGGGTGTGAACTAAGAAAGAACAGGCTACTCTTGTCCTCTTGACCAGGCTGTGGCTGGGCATTTGGGCCCTAAGTGAGGCTGCAGGGGTCTTGTAAGGGTGTGAAAACCCTGGATCCCCTAGACTTTCAGTTGATCCCAGGCAGAAGCAGGCCGTAAAGGTTCAGCAAGTTAACTCCAAGACAGGTTGTCCCGGGCCAGGTTGGGTTGTGGGACCTGTAGCACGTACAAGGGAGAAAAAAGAACAGAGTAACCAAAGGGCCCTTCCAGGGAGACCTCTGCAGGGAACAGCAAGTTTGGGGGAAGTGGGAGACATTTTGGGAAAGGAATGTAGAGCTTTGTGAGGAGAGTCTCCCTAGCCAGAAGGTTCCTGCTACCAGATGGCAGGTTGTATGCACCTGACCCCTGACAGCTGGGGAGTGTCTTCCCACTCAGGGGTCAGTACCTGGAATCAGAGAGGGTAAGGCATGTGTGTAAGCCATAAAACCGGTTGTGGTGGCACACTACCTGTAATCCTAGCACTCTGGAGGTGGAGGCAGGAGGATCAGAGGTTTAAGGTCTCAACAGAGTTTGACGCCAGTATGAAATAAATTTTGAGACCCCCAATCTCAAAATAGTTTTCAATAGAGAAGATACCATGTGCATTTGAAAAGAAGGGGTTTTGTTTTATTTTGTTTTGTTTGGTCTTTTTTTGAAACAGGGTCTCCCTGTAGACCCAGCTGCCCTGGAATTCTATAGACCAGGCTGGCCTTGAACTCACAGAGATCTGCCTGCCTCTGCCTCCCAAGTGCTGGGACTACAGGCATGTGCCACCACACCTGGCTAGAAGTTCATATTTTTAGAAAGAGGAACTCGGGGCTGGAGAGATGTCTCAGTGGTTAAGAGCACTGGCTGCTCTTGCAGAGGACCCAGGCTCTGTTCCCCGCACCAACATGGCAGCTCACAACTTCCTGTTAACTCCAGTTTCAGAGAATCCAATACCTTCTTACTTCCATAGGCTCCTGTGCATGTGGTATGTGTGTGCACACATGTGTGTGCACACACACACACTAAATTAATAAATCTTGAAAGAAGAAAAAAGGAGCCGGGCATGGTGGCACATGCCTGTAGTTCCAGCACTTGGGAGGCAGAGGCAGGTGGATCTCTGTGAGTTCAAGGCCAGCCTGGTCTACATGGTGAGTTCCAGGACAGCTGGGGCTACAGGGAGACCCTGTTTCAAAAAGTCAAAAAAAAAGAAAAAAGGAAAGAGGAACTCCCAGAACGGTCAGTATTTAATCCAGAGGCCTGAGTCATCAGCAGGGAAATTGGGCCATGTACATAGTGGGTGGAAGAGGCCCCTTAGAGCTACTGCTTAAGTCATCCTGTTAAGTGAGTACCTTTAAGTGATTCTCCCACATGAGGCCTGGTACCCCATTCACACCTCTGTGGAGGGCTCCTGCTGGAGTGGGGCCTGCTCTTGAAGCCCTCTGGGTCTAGGAAGGAAGAAGAAGCAGAGTCCTGACCCCACCACAGTTTGGTTGTTGGGGTCTACTCTCAGGGTAGAGAAGAGAGACAGAGGAGGTGCTCTGTGGCTGCCCCAGGCCAGGAAGTGGCCAGGGCCCTCCCCATCCTGAGACATTTCCTCCAGATGAAATCACAGCCCCAGCAAGGGAACAGGCCCCCATTGTGATGGGCTGGGGTCTCAAAGAAAGGGAGCCTTTCAGACCCAGAAAAATAGAATCCCCAGGATTTATGAGTCTTCACAGGGAATGCACCCTGCCACCTCTACCCTATGACCTGGTAATGACCAGCTGAAGAATCCACTGCCTGCCCCTGGCCCATTGAGGCTGCTGGTCTGCCAGGGGTTCACACGCACTCTCTCCACCCCTCTGCCTACACTGATGGGCTTTGGCATTTGTCCAGCTTTGCAGACAAGAACTTCAGGAGGGAGGCATAGTCAACATTTCGCAGATGAGAAAACTGAGGCACAACTAGTAAGTCACACAGTTGGGTGATGGAGCCCAGGTTTGAAGCTCCTGGACCTAGACTCCCAACTCCCTGGGGCCTCAGATTGCATAGTCTTGGCTTGCCCTGGGCACAAGCTGGAGGGGACAGGTTGAGCCCACCATGCCAGTCATAGGACACTTATGGGGTCAGCCTCTAGGAGCCCTGCCACATGATCTAGGGGGTATCTAGTGTTGGCCACAGCTGTCAACCCTGAGCTGGTCAACCCCGAGCAGGGCAGAGGCTGCCACTGGCCCTCTGCTTATCCTGATAGTCCTATAGCATGGCTGGGTTTGGGGGAGTCCTGGAGCCAGACTTGGTTCACTTTCCCAGTCTGAGAACTGGGGAGAGCACTGCAGGGCCAGACAGGACAGGACAGGACATGGGGTTCCAAGTGTTAAATACCAGGGTGCTAGGTGCCTATGAGCTAGAATTTCAGCCTTTCTAGACTTGAGGATGGGTGGGGAAGTGAGAAGGAGATGCTCTGGGCTGTTGACCGGCTAGGACAGAGGGCAGTTTGGGATAGGCAGGACCCTCCCTGACCAGCCCCTCCAAGCAGGCACTGCCCCCTTTCTCCCCTGGCCTGATGGGGTAGAATGCAGATCCTCAGCAAGTGCTGGTCCCACATTAGCCCCACCAATTTGGTTACAGTGTGTGGGAGGGGGGCTCCCACAGCCCCCTAAGTGCAACTCTGTGTTCCAGCTTACTATTCCATGAGCCACCTGCAGGCGGGGAGGGGGCAAGTACACCAGCTGTCAGCAACTCTGTCCTGCCTCAGGCTTGCTGCCACCCTCGGAGCCCCAGCTCCTTTCCTGTCCTGTCACTTACACCCCAAGCTCCATCATGGGCTGCTTGTCACAGATGTTGCTTCCACCCTAATCCCTGTCCACAGTAGGGTCGATCCCTCCACCCCCAGAGCACCCCAACACTACTCCATCCTTCTCCATCCTTCTCCTGCTTCCCATAATTGGAACTTGACTCCTTCCCTTGAAGTGGAGTGGGATCATGTCACTTCCTGAGGCGGGGGAGTAGGCACTGCTCCTCGGGTGGCCAGCTCTGCTGTTGGGGCTCCTGGAGCATGCAGTTGCTGCACCTGGGAGACTAGTCCAGCAGAGCCTGGCCTGACATATTGCCTGGCCACCTGCCCCACTCTACCCCATGCCCCCAAACCCACTCTGGGGAATGTACTCACTGGCCCAGGAAAGCTTCGCTGCTTTCTTCCCAAGTAATGCCAGTCTCCTGTGGACATGTTTTCCCTGGAGCCGTCACTGGGGAGAGAAAGACCTGCTGCCTGCCCCCAGGCCAGGTTCCATGGAAACCCCTGCTAACCTTGGGGACAGCTGCCCTCCAGCAGAGTGCCCAGACATCTGCAGCAGTGGACGCCCTCTGCACAAGGCAGTGCAGGTCTGCCCTTGAACAACTCCCAGATGTCTGCTCAGACCAACCTCTGGGCTGTGGAACTCCTGGCCACTCCTGTGCTTGCTGTGGCTAGTTTGTATACAACTTCTTCCAAGAGGTAGGCACCAGGTAGCAAAGGCTGCTGGGCTAAGGGTGAGCCTGTAAGAGTGGTTGTTATTCCTACAATCACTGTTGAATAACAGTGAGGGTCAGATGTCCCCAGCCACACTCCTGACCCATGTCCCTACCTCAGCACAGCCTTCCCTCCCCAGGGCCATGGCTGTGACTGAGAGTTTTCTTAGATGGGTACAAAACCAAGTTAAAGCACATTCATAGCCATAGGGTTCCAGCACAGCAAGAAATCGAAGACCTCACTTGGCAGACTTATTGAGACCTACTATGTGCTGGGCATTCCTTGCCCTTGGTGCTAATAAATCCCAGCCACTACCATTCACTTGCTCTTGCCCCATCCTCCCCAAGCCTTCAGCATCCCTCCTGCCCTACAGGGCTTTATGCCGAAGGACACTTGTTCTTGGCCTTGGCAGTCAGGGCCCAAGGACTGTGGGTACTGGGCAAGTTTCCTTGTAGAGGGGCAGTAAAGGCTCTGGAGGCTGAGGGTCCCATTGATCCTGTTTACAGGAAAAGAGGGAGTGAACTAGGGTCTCTCTTTTTTTTTTTTTTAAAGACACTGTCTTTCTATGTTGCCCAAGCTGGCCTCAAACTCATGTTCCTCTTGCTTTAAAGTGCTGGGATCACAGGCCTGCACCACCATTCCTAGCCAGAGCCCAGGTCTTTAGTGGAGCTGAGCACTTAACTGTGGGAGCGACCCCAGGCAGTGGCAGTTTGGTGGGGGACAGGAGTGACCTTCAGTGACAGGCTGAGGCTAGGGTCTTACTGCTAAAGCCCTGGGCATTATGGGAATTGAAAGGGCAGGGGACAGCTCCTACTTGGAAATGGGTCAGCATTTCAAGTGCCTAGAGATCCTTGAGCCAGGGGTTAGAATTTGGAGCCAGGGCCTAGGATGCCTGTGCTGTGTTCACACCTGGATGTGGCTCAGCAGCTCCAGAGAACCAGTGGCCCTGAGCACAGCTGAGTCCACCCAAACCTCTCCAAGAACCTCTGCTTGCTTTCAGGAGGTGAGCACCAGGCCTGCTGAGCCTCCCAGAGCTGCCAGCCATGCCCGGGATTGTGGTGTTCCGCCGGCGCTGGTCTGTGGGCAGCGATGACCTCGTCTTGCCAGCCATCTTTCTCTTCCTCCTGCACACCACCTGGTGAGTCTCAGAGCTGGGGCCACAGTCCTGGGGTTGGGGAGAAAGGTCTGGAAGGAAGCTTTCTGGCTATCTGTTGCTCTGTACCAGGCCCAATCCTGACCCTGTCCTGCTCCCAGGCAGAGGCCTGAAACACAGAACACCTCCAGGTAATACCCACATGGAGTCATGGACTGCCCTCTGGCCACCACTGCTCCTGACCTCAGGAGTGGGCACAGTGGCTGCTGCTGCCTCCCCATGCTGACAGCATGGCTTCCTGCTCCCACTTCCCAATTCTTCAGAGACACCCAGAGTCAGGTGGATAGTGGCCTGTGGGGGAGATAGCTGCTGTCCCTTCCTCTCACTGAGCCCAGGTTGGCCTGGGGCTTGCCTCCTAGGGGCAGCACAAGGTACAGAGGTGGCCCACCCTTGCTCACATGCATCCTTCTACAGGTTTGTGATCCTGTCTGTGGTGCTCTTTGGTCTGGTCTACAACCCACACGAGGCCTGCTCCCTGAACCTAGTGGACCACGGCCGCGGCTACCTGGGCATCCTGCTGAGCTGCATGATCGCCGAGATGGCCATCATCTGGCTGAGCATGCGTGGGGGCATCCTCTACACGGAGCCCCGTGACTCCATGCAGTATGTGCTCTACGTGCGACTGGGTAAGGGCTGCCTGCTGGGGCCTGGGATTGTTCCAGAGCCCCCCACCCTTCTCCTGCATGCATTCCCTCAGGTGATACTGAACACACTCTAAAAGCCAGACCCTCACCTAGCATGGGGTACCTCTGTGGACTGGCATTCTTGGCCCAGGGGCTCAGTCTAGCCCACAACTGCTTTGTGGATCTTTTCATTGGAACACACCCACCCATTTATGCGTCATCTGTAGTGCTGTGGTACCACAATGGCAAGGCTGAGACATTGCTTCTGAGACCGAAATAGCCCAAGTCTAAAATGTTTGCCCTCTGTGGCCTTTCATAGACAAAGTTTGTTGACCCGTTCAAAACCTTGGGCATGTCTGCAAAGCGCATCTGTGTTCCTTCTAGAATCGTCTGAGAAGTTCCCCAGGCCAAGTTAAGCCAGCTCCCCAGAGGACCAGCTCATATCTCTTTCAGGCCATGTCCCAGCAGCCTCTGGGGGGCATTCCCAGAGTGCACTTCTTCTGAGCTTTTCCATAGTACACAGAAAGTGTTGGCCTGGTTTTGTAGATGAGGACACTGGGGCCCAGGAAGGCTAATTCGCTGTCTCAAGGTCACATAGCTAAGTCAGGCTGGAAGAGTCACAGCAGGGATTTGAACCCACATTACTGACTGACTCTGACATCCAGGTTCCTAGCTGCTACATGGTGCTGCCCATTTCTAGGCTGTCAAATGTCCTTCTCACTCCCACCTGGCTGGGCTTAGTGTACTCATGGGCTGAGAATATGCCCCACTACAAGTTGGCTGCTGGGGCACCTCTCTTACCCCACCTCACAATTTCCAGAAGCTTCTGCTGAGAATTAGCAGTGTTTCATGAATTCCAGTTCTCAGTGTCCTGTCACATAGACATCACTGGCATTTTATGAATGAATAAATGGAGGCTTAGAGATTAGGTAACTTGCCTAAGATGTGTCTGGTTCTGGAGTTCATGCATATGCTCCTGAAATTCTGCTAAAACAGGGAAGCACTTCTCCCTAGTTCACCTATCTAGTCATCTTCCCTGGGAGGCACTGGGCACCTGAGGGCACAGTGAAAGAGACCAGGCTAGGGCCAGCAGTACAGAGTTGTGGTGGGACGGCATCTGTGTACTCCTGCTGGGAGCTGACCACGGGCCTGGCAGTAGGAGCCAGGCCTAGGCTCATAGGCCCTTCCCTGGTGGCGGACAGTAGCCTGCAGCCTTCAGCCAGAACTTGCCTCTTCTTGCAGCCATCTTGGTGATCGAGTTCATCTATGCTATTGTGGGTATCGTCTGGCTCACACAGTACTACACCTCCTGCAATGACCTCACTGCCAAGAACGTCACCCTTGGTATGCACCCTACAGTCCCATCAGCTGAAGGTGGTTCTGGGGGTGGAACTGATAGAACCAGCTGGCAGAGGAAGGGGCTTGGGCACCACTGTAGGGAGACACCCAAGTGATGCTGCTTCCTTCACCCTGTGCTCTACCATCTGCCCTGGGACCCTGGCTAGGGTGGGGACAGGCACAGAACTGTCCAGGCAGCAGATAGGACTTCACCACCTTCCCACCACAAAACTGCCTGCTCTGTGACAAGAGTGGGCCTTGGAGAAGGGGCTCTACAAGGCTAGAACCAAGGGCTTTTGAGACTTGCTCTTGGGTCTCAGAAGCAGCTGGGATAGGGAGACTGCAGAGCCCCCTTTTTTCAGAGCTGATGTCCCAGGAAGATGCCCCAAATGCCACCTCTTTCTTCCCATTGCTGCCCCCAACAGGAATGGTTGTCTGCAACTGGGTGGTTATCCTCAGCGTCTGCATTACTGTCCTCTGTGTCTTTGACCCCACGGGCCGCACGTTCGTCAAGCTGAGAGCCACCAAGAGGAGGCAGCGCAACCTGCGGACTTACAATCTGCGGTCAGTCAGCTGAGTAGGCAGGTGGTACCTTAGTGGAACTTGTTGATCAGTGGGCAGAGGATGGTCCTGTTCCTTAGCTGGCTGCCCCCACCTCCCAAACTGCATGTCAGCCTCATGTGAGCCATGGGTCTTTGTGAAAATCTCACTTCTTTCTGTCTCGGTTTGTTTGTCAAAAAAGCAAGGATAACAGTAACGGCCTTAGGATGTCATTGTGAGATTTAAGTGAGAGAGTCTGTGCAAAGTGGCTAACATGAAGTTCATATTGGTAAGGCCTAAGTTAATACAGCTGTTGCTGTTAGCCTCAGCAGCAGCAGCAGCACCAATAGGCTGAACGGTAGTAACAGCAGGAGAAGAGCATTGCCCACAAAGTTATAACCCATGTCCTCCCTATGACAGAGGTAGAGAAACCAGGGCACATAGAGGGTGTGTGATTTGCCTAATGCAAGGCAACCAATTAGTGATGAGAGTGGTTACCAGCACTCAGTCTGATTTTGGAGCCCTCACTTAACCACCAGGTGAGACTACCTCTAGGTTTCAGGGGGTGGGAGAAGTTCATCAAAGGAAGGCTTCAGGGAGAGGCGTAGCCTGGTTTGTTTGGGTTTTTTTGTTTCTTTGTTTTGGTTTTTTGAGGCAGTGTCTCCCTATAGTCCCAGATGGCCAGGCTGGCCTCTGTCTCACAGAGATTTTCCTGCCTCTGCCTCCCAAGTGCAGGGATTAAAGGCATGTACCACATCTGGCTTCACCTAGTATTTTAAAGGGTATGGCAGAGAAAATGAGAGAGGACATTTGGCACACTGAGTTCTGTTATTGAGAGTAAGGAAGAGAGACTTCCAGGGTGAATCACAATAGCACCACCCCCCAAATCAGGCTTCTGTAAGGCAGACTCCATGCTTAACACTTTGTGGTTAGTCCAGTTAATCCTTTTGCCACCCCAGTGCAGCTGTGAGACCTATTCTACAGATGAGGGTCCCAGTTATTTGCCCCAAGCCACAGTAGTGGGGTGTGGAAGTGGCAGCCATCTCCAGTCCAGGGAAGTGGGCTGCCCAGACACCTGCCCAGAGGGACTGCCCTCTACCCACACTCTCATACTTCAAACCTTCCACGTCAGTCCATAAATTTGTCGCTGTAGCCAGCACCACACCCCTGCCCGGTCTGGACACCTCCCAGCCCCAACTGTCAGGCCTTGGAGCCAAGACTCAAGAGCCTATTTTCCCTCCCAGTGCAACTGGCCACCACCCCCTGTCCCATTTTGCCTGCTCCAAGCAGGCGCACCACCCACCTGACCTGCTTTCTGGACCCTGGAGAGAACTTCCTTCCCTTCCTGACTCTGAGTGATTGCTTTTGGGGCTCAGGGTGGCCAGAGCCTGTGCAGCAGGGGGCTGGCACTTGCTGTGATTTTAATTAGGAAGCTCTCTGCAAGCAGGCGCACCACCCCACCTGACCTGCTTTCTGGACCCTGGAGAGAACTTCCTTCCCTTCCTGACTCTGAGTGATTGCTTTTGGGGCTCAGGGTGGCCAGAGCCTGTGCAGCAGGGGGCTGGCACTTGCTGTGATTTTAATTAGGAAGCTCTCTGTGGTTTCCAGGCCCTGTGAAGGTGAATGAGGGAGGCCACAGCTCACAGGCCCTTGACCTGTTGTGGTTTCTTTGGGTCTCCTGGGAAGCTGGAGAGTACAGCCTGGCCGTGAGGCTTTATCAAGCCTGACCACTTGCCTGGAAGGCCTCTGTTTTCTCTAAAATGATGCAGGGACCATTTTAAGCCAAAACTCCCCAGGGCATGGATACTCGCACCCTTGTTGCCCACATGGTTAGGTTATTTTGGTTTCTGAAAGTCAGGAGGGTGTGTAAGTCTTTGGCCCTTTCTCTTTCCAGTGAAATCTGGTGGGGACTTGGGGGAGTGTTATTCCCAGCCCTGTTTCCCCAGAGCCTTGACCTTGGGTTTTTACAGAAGGAATGTCTGCCCCTCTTTCACATAGTGATCATCCAGCAGAGCGCTGCTGGGGTCCATGAACTATCTGTCCAGGCTGTGTCTCCCTAGCTTAGTCGGTAGCCTCATGGGTGGATGCACTTGACCTAACCTGTCACCTTCTCACACACATTCCTGCCATCATCTCCCCCTGGCATTCATGAAAGGTACTTCAGTGGTGTGGAGACTGCATTTCCATCTGGCCAGAGGCTGGGGAGGAAATCTCATTGTGTTTGAGAGCCTTATTGGGTTAGAAAGCATTAAAGTCAGTGATGCTCTGAGAACCCAGCTTGGCCAGCTCTCTTTCTCTTCATCAAGCCCCTGGGAAGTGGAGCATTGGTTTAGGATGCAAGGCTACCCTGGTATCTAAAGGCAGCTGGTCTCAGACAGCTGGTATCTTACACCTTCCCCAGCCACCTCTTGGAGTCTGGGGAGACCCTGTTTACTCCTCCTTTTGGCTATCTGTCTATGCAGCCTGGGTTGAAGGAGTAGAGATCAGTTCTTGGCTGCACAGAGGAGCCAAGAAGAGCCAGCCTGTTGTTCCTGATGACTGTTGTTCCTGATTAAGTGCCTTGAATACATCTGAGTGCCACCTTTGTCTTCCCCCACTTACCGCCTGGTGACAGGCTTTTAAGGGGCGAGTATGTAGCTCAAACCCCAACAAGCCTCTTCTGGATCAGTTTGGAGATCTACGTGTTTGATGTTAGGGCTATTTATGATCAGGAAGTACTGTCTCTTGGTGCCCACCATGGAGGTATGTCTGTGGGACAGTGGTCCACTGCTCTGCCTCTGGTCACTGACTCCTGAAACCCCTGGCTCTCCATATGTGCAATCAGATCCATTGGGCTAGGGATGGAGGAGAGAATGGACAGGGGGCAGCTGTGCAGGCAGGTGCCTGCCCTACCCAGACAACAGTTGGCAAGGAACTGGGAAATGTAGAGCCTCATCCAGCATCACAGATTTCCTGTAAGTACCAAATACATCAGTTTTTTTAAAGTCCTTTGCTAGGAAAAGCAGATCTGTCTGACAGATCTGTCCCAGCCCTTGGAACAAGAGGACAGAGAGGCCATTCTGGCTGACATCTCCAGGGCTCTTGATTTAAGCCTTTAGATACGTGGGCTGCAGAGTAGCCGTTACTTATAGCTTCCAGCTCTGAAGCCCCCAGGGTGTGCCTGTAAGTCAATCTTCCAAAAGTCAACTCCCCTCCCCCATAACAGCTCACCAGTTAGGCCAGTAGGACTCCTCAGGGAGTCCTCTGGCTGGCTGATAGCCAGGTTACTGGCCATCCAATGGCTACCCTACAGCCTGTTCTTCCCTAGGCCCACTGGGGAGCCCTTTGTGGGTCCTGGGAGCAGGCCACCCTGTTTCTATAACATCTGACCCAGTTCCTCTGGTCGAGCCTCTTGACCTCACACGTTGACTCTCATCCTTCACAGGCACCGCTTAGAGGAGGGTCAGGCCACCAGCTGGTCCCGCCGGCTCAAAGTGTTCCTCTGCTGCACCCGGACAAAGGACTCCCAGTCAGTAAGTACCCAGGCTCGCTTGCCTCAGGTCCCCTCCCGCCTTGCATGCAGATTTTACACCTCTGGCAATGCCAGGAGGGCAGGGCTGGCAGGGAGTTTTGAGTGTGAACAGAGTGACAATCTCCTTGTGGGATGATCTCTGCACTGACCAACTCACTCAGTCTATAAAGCAGCTGTGCATCTGCTTTATCAAGGAAACAGATGTGAAGACCCTTGGAACGTAGTAGTGTGGTTTAGGAGAAGTAATGCTCAAAAGTCAGACACCCCAAGACAGAAAAGTAGTAGCACATGAACAGCTGCTGATGGACCTGCAAGGTCTGGGGATGCTGTTGAGTGCTTAGCCCAGAGCTAGATGGCACACAGTCAACCTTCAGCTTCAAAGCTCTTAGGAGTGGCCACACTTGCAGTGCTGAGGCACAAGAAGGGAGACAGCATCAGCTACGGGCACCTCTGAGTAGAGAGAGAGCCAAGGCCCCTCAGCACAGGTCTGGGAGCTTAGAGATTATCTAGTCCCCACCCAGAGAGGTGGAACAACTTGTTCGTTGACCCACAGCTACTTAGTAGCAGAGCCAGAATGGTCAGGAGACCACTCTTCTTCAAGGCAGACAGTGAAGTGCTCCCTAGAAGCCCCAAGAAATCCTGGAGTGGCTCCCCCTATCAGCACCCTCCAGAGGACCTTAGAGCGAGTAACCTAGTAGAAGAGACCCCCAGTGTTCCCTGGCCAGTGGGGAGTACCTCATGGGCTGTCTGAGGATTCCTAAAGGATCATGGCTCTGGCCTGGCTGCCACTAGCCATACAGAGTACATGGAGGGAGTGGGCCCTGGCAGGTGGAAGCTGGGCCTTGCTAGGCCTGTGAAGGGCGCAGTCCCCTCTGGGCACAATATAGAGTCAGGACTGTTGTGAGAAGTGGATGCAAAGGTTACACATGCTTGGAGCATGGTTCTGTTAGACACAGACTGCCAAGGGGCAGGTTCTGTCCAAGTGTTTTTCATCAGCTCGTGTGGCATTGCTTAAGAATTAGAATTGACAGCATAGAACTGGGAAAATGAACAGCAGACCCCAATCTTATTTAAAGGAATATTGACAACTGATTGCTGCTAGAAGAGAAACAGCTGACCTTCCTAAAACAAAGACCTCTGGATAGGCTGACTAGATTCACCAGGTGGACAAGTAGTGGGGAATGGCTGGAGGTGCCGACAACACAGCAGACAGTAGCAGGGATATCAGAGTATAAGGGTTCTAGTTGGGGGAGGGAGGCTATGGGAGGGTGCCATCTGGGAAGTGGGTGTACAGTTGAAGAAGGTGGTTTGGGATGTTCTGTATGATATACACACACATAAAAAAAATCAACAAATTTTAAAAAATGTATATTTGAGAAGGAAGCATGGAAATTTACATCATGTTAATTAGTAGAGGTGATAAACATTACCATTGAAATCTGCCCGATGACTTTATAGACATACACAGGTGCCAAGGATCCAAGTGCAACCGATTATGACTAGTAATAATCAGATACATACAGATTAGAGATGCATGCACCAACATCTCAGTGTTAGTAGCAAAAACAATGAGTCTTTCTGCAAGGAACAATATATTCTAAAATGAAATGGAGATCTTTTTTAAAGGTTAAAAACTCATTCAATTTTATGTCTTATAGGGCTTATACTGAGTTCAATATTGTATAACTGTATTAATTCAACTGTGAACCTAGAAACTTACAGCCACTTGTGAAAGAGATGTACTCTTGCTCTGGAGTGTGTTACTGAATATGTTAAAACTGTAATGAAATGCTTCTAATCATGTAGTTATTAAAAATTTAGAAAAAAATAAAATATTTAAAAAATTTTTAAAAAATATATAAATCAAAAAAAGTTTTAAAAAGAAAAACAAAAAAGAATTGAATGCCAGCATTTGAAAAAATCATTAGTGTTCACATAAATACCTGTGTTTCTGAATATGGCACCTCAGACTAGGCAGTTGGAGCTGAGCAGTAGCTGGCCCTGGGTGGCCCCTTTGACATTTGAGCTTGCAACCACTGGCTTTTTCTCTCGTGTGCCAGTAAGACAAACCAGTTACTCTAAGTTTGTTCCCACCCTGGCCTCTCCTGACAGTTTAAGGTAAACCTCAGACCTCAGGACAACAGAAGGCAGGAGAGGCTGAGGACCCACAGCTAGCAGGGCTTGCCCCTTCCCTTGCCTCCTGCTCCAAAGCCCAGCCTCTACCTGAAGCCAGAGAGGCCATGGACTGCGCAATCACTCCTTCTTAGGCACATTATGGGGTTTGCTAAGCTGAGGCCCCTGGGAAGCAGTGGGGGAACTAGAGACCTGGGAGGCTCATAGAGCCCTTAGTAGGCTTCCAGGGTTACAGCTGGTAAACAGGAGCAGCTGGCTTCTTTGTGTGGTTTCTCTACTGGAGAAACAAAGCCAGAGGTGTCTGGGCCCTGATTCTTGCTGTGGAGAGAAAGAGAAGAGTAATGGCCGAGGTTGGCAGCTATGAGCAGGCAGCACGAGCTAGAGGACTTCAGAGGAGAGATCTAGGAGGTAGAGGAGGGGTCAGCAGGCAGGCTGATAGGGACCTAAGACACAGGCCAGGGCCCTCGGCTTTCTACTGCAGAACCACCTGGGGATAGGCGTGGTCAGTATCATAGAGGGTCCCAGAGAACCTGCCTTGGGGATTCACTCATGGTCTCTCCTCTTACCTGCTGCCCTGCCACCGGCTTTTGTCTTCCCGGACCTTGATAGGATGCCTACTCAGAAATTGCCTACCTCTTCGCTGAATTTTTCCGAGACCTCGACATCGTGCCCTCTGACATCATCGCCGGCCTAGTGCTGCTCAGGCAGCGGCAGCGAGCCAAGCGCAATGCGGTGCTGGATGAGGTGAGCACCTTCCCCAGCCCTCCTGCAGACCCTGCTGTTGATCATGTGGCATCCTCACCCCATGGGCCCTCAGGCCACTGTTTCCTGCTAACTGCCCTCCACTGTCCCAGCTGAGAACTTCAGCCAGCCACTGACTCCTGATAGAGTGACTTGGCTCTCCAGGCCATGTGTGGCCAACCTCTGAGGACTTCTAATCACTGGGGCTGGATAACCAATGCCAGCTTAGGGCTCAGCCTTCTGCTCGGCTTCTCTGTCCTACTCCCTTGTAAACCCTGCCAACACTTTGGTTCCTGTCCTTCTACATCTCATACAAAACCCCTTTTCCTCTGGAGTGGCCCAGGAACATCCTCAGGGGTTTGATGCTCTGTATATAATCGGAACAACTAGAAAAGTGGGAAAACCTGATTTTGGAAAACTGCTGGGTATTGGAAGAGCTGCAGACCATGTGCTTCTTCAGACCTCTGTGAGGCAAGCAGAAGCTGAACCCCTTCTTACCCCGCAGCTGGGCCACTGCCCATCTTTTTCATTGTTGTTATTGTTTTAGTTTTTTTTTTGTTTTTGTTTTTTTGAGACAGGGTCTCACTATGTATCCCCTGGTTGGTCTGGAACTCACTACCAAGATCAGGCTGACCTCAAACTCAGAGATCCCCCTCCCTCGGTCTCCCGGGGCACTGGGATCAAAGGCATGCACAACCATTCCCAGCTGCCACAGTCCATCTTAACATGCCTGTTTTATAGGCAAACAATGACATCTTGGCTTTCCTGTCTGGGATGCCAGTGACCAGAAACACCAAGTACCTCGACCTCAAGAACTCGGTGAGTCAGAACTCTCTTCCCTCTCCAGTCCCCCTCTCTACTACATCCCCACAATCACACAGTGTGAGCCAGCCCTCCTGCTCCTGCTCAGACTCTTGCTCAGCCCTACAGGGAGCCTCCTCTCAGATCATGTCCTCTAGAGCCCTCACATCGTGCTGTTTCTATAAGCAGAGTCCCAAATCTCTTAGCCAAGCTCCAAAATACTTGACCCTGGCTCCTTGAGATTACAAAATCCTTCACTGGTGTGAGCTGTGACATTATTGCTGCCACTGCTGTCCCAAAGGGCAGTAGAGCGTGGTGCTGTCATTTCCAAGCCTTTTCAGTAGTAGAAACTTTAAGTATCTTTAGTGGAAACCCCATGTTACAGGGAAGGTGAGTTCCATGATGATGAGGCCCAGCCCCACATGCTTCCCTCATCCACACAGGGTAGAACCACAACTGATGGCAGAACCGTCCGCCAGGCTCAGGAAAAGCACACTAGTTCAGGTATACCTATGCTCCATCTGTCTCTGTGACCTGGAGTAAGCCTGTCATCCCTCAGAGCCTGTCCCACAGCTGTAAAATGCCCTGGGCACACCTTGCACCCAGAGGTGAAACAAGAGGAAGTGACCCATCCTAAATCCCTCTGGCAAGGTGCTGGAAGTACAGAGGTAATCGGGAAGTGGCTGGAGAGGCTTCAGCCCTTGGGGATCTACATCTTTAGAAAAGCTCAGGGGTCTGTCTCTCCATAGCAGGCATCTTTCATCTTTACAGCCACATGTACAGCAACTGCCTCTAGCCACCCGTCTGCCACTCAACAGGCCTTGCCTGGATGGCTCTTACCACACCCTGGGGGGAGGTGCAGAGTCTGCACCCGCCACCTGGCAGAGGCTGCCAGCACCCCGCCCTCGCTGTCCTGTCACCCAGGGTAATTGCCTCTGCAGCTACCGGCTCCTTCCTGAGTTCCTGAAGAGCAGGCAGAAGGGTGCTGATTGAGGCCTACCTGTTTCACTTCACAAGATGACTAATCACCCTCCTTAACTTTTACAAGGTGACTAATTCCCTCTAAGTGCCGCAGTCCTAGTGCCCAGGGGCTGGGGACTGACTGACAGGCTTTGCTGGGGCACCACTGTCCCTGCCTCTGACCATCTTTTAGCACTGATAGCAGCCTCAGCATCAAGAACAGTTGCTGGGCGTCAGACTCCTGGGTTTCAAACTGGCGCCTCTCTCTGGCCTGATCCCAATCTGGTGGAGACAGCCTCCCTCAGCCTTAGGAGCCTGAACCTCCATGAGTCAAGCCTGAGAGAAGCAGAGGGCCAGAGACATTTGGTGATGTGTCTCCATGCTTGGCTTGCCCTGCTGCCCACAGCCAGATACCCTGAGCTGTGTGACCAAGGCGTCACAGGGTTAAATTCCCCAGCAGAGAAGTCCCTTCCCAGGGCCTGATTACTGAGGCGGGGAGATTGCCACTCAAGCCCCATGCTCTTTTCCTTCTTGGGTAAACAAGCCAGAAAATCGATACAGTGCTCAGAGTGATTTTCTGTCCCCAAATCATTAATTCTGAGACACTGTAGCTATAGGACAGGTCTCTGGAGGATGTGCGCCCTGGGTGCAGGGAGATAATTAGGCAAATGTAATCAGTGTCTAGAGGGGCCGTCCCTCTTCACCTGGCGCCCAGCAGCCCCTCTCTGTGGGGGCAGGTAGGCAAACTCCCACCTCTGGGACTGGTGGGCTGAGGTGGCTGGCAAAAGGGGCAGCAGTCACTACCCTCCATATCCTGTCTTCCAGCACGAGATGCTGCGCTACAAAGAAGTCTGCTATTATATGCTCTTCGCCCTGGCTGCCTATGGCTGGCCTATGTATCTGATGCGGAAGCCCACCTGTGGTCTCTGCCAGCTGGCTCGGTCCTGCTCGTGAGTATCCCACCAGTCCCTAGCAATGCCATTAAAGGGTGGAGGAAGGGGATGAGATGATGAGCAGGTACTTCCCTTCCCCTGTGCTGTAGGGGCTCTGAAACTGCTATCCTGTCTCCACCTTCCCTGGACCCAAGTGGTTTCTCTCCCAGCACCTTCAACTGGGCCTTTCTCCTGCATCCTCCCTGGGCTTTGGAATCACACAGCTCTTGGTTTGAATGCAGACTTTGAGTTGCAGCCTTGGCAGGCCATTCTCTGAGCCTCAGTTTCTGCATCTGTGAAATGGACTGTTTTTGTAATTTAAAGAGAAGTAGTATCTACACTGCAGGGTTTTCCCTCTCCTTCATCCTCTCTGCCCCCCACCATTCCTTCCTGCCCATATCTCCCCTTCTCTTGGTTCCCTCCTGTGCTCTGCTTTTCTAGAAGAGTGTTCTTGGGAGGAAGGCCCAAGCCATGGAAGTCTTTAGAGAGACAGAGACCCTGTAGTAAAGGCTGGAGAGCTGGGAAAGCCTAGGCCCAAATCTGGCCTGTGAGCTGGCTCTGCCCTTGCCCTGGGGTAGGGTGGAGTGGAGGTAGAGAGAGTAGGTTCTGTGCTTCTAAGTGGGCCGGTGGGGAAGGGCTTTAGAAGGACCCTGTCCTGTAGTGGCTCTGTCCTCTGCCTGTGTCAGGCAGAAGCAGGATAGTTCCCTGGGCTCCTGTTCCAGAAAGACTGGCCTAATGATCTGCGCCTCAATCCTCCATGTCCCTCCCTAGGGACCACAGTGGTCCCACCCACTCTGCAGGGCCTCCTCCCTGAGGAAGCTTGTGACTCTTGGGACCTTGTTCTCACTACCCCTAACAATAGATCAGAACTCAGAGCACTTTGTGCTCTTCCCATCTCTGCACATGCCCAGTATTCTTCCCTTCATTTCTGGGACACCTCGTCCTGATGGAGAGCTTTTCAAGATGAGTACTGGGCCAAGAGCCCCGATACCTGCTCTCAGGCAAGTCCTGCTTCACTACTCCCTGGTTCTAGCAGAAAGAATCAGGAAGCCACTGGCACCTGAGCTCTTGGTGCTCTGGGGACAGCAGTGATATAAGCCACCTGTATGAGCCAGTGCCAAAGAGGCAGAGAACAAAGTCCTCAGCCTTCAGAGGGCTCAATTGGGTCCTGCCTGTTAGGATGAGGTGAAGGTGTGGTGGAGAAGCTGCCTGCCATCCTCTGGCCCTCAGACCTTGCACTGGCAGTCTACCCCAAAGGGTGGGATATCACTACTTTAGAAGAGCTTGGTGTGTGTGTGTGTGTGTGTGTGTGTGTGTGTGTGAAGTAGAGGAGCAGGACAATGGACACAGCACAGGGGACAGGCTTGGTTCTCACAGTAACTTTGGGAAGCAGGAGTCAGTGCCCCCCTCTGACAGAGGAAGGAAGCTCAGGCTTAGCCACAAAAATCAGGAAGTGGCATACCAGGAAGGATTTGAACCCAAGTCTAGCCTCAAAGCTGCCTCACCACAGCCCCCTGCTCAGCTGAGGGAGGAGGGGACAACTGCCTGACACAGGAGTTCAGGACCTGGCCTCAAACCTGCTCTCACTTGGCCTGGTGGTATGGTGGCTTATCAGGGCCAGCAGCCCAGCTCTGGATGTATATCTTGTGTAATGTATCCTGTGTATCCTATCCTGTGAATGGGGCAGTCCCCACTTCCAGGCTCACAAGTTTTCAGTTCTTCACTTGGCTCTGGGGTTTCTCTGTGTAGCCTCTCTGTGGGAAGTAACAGTCCTACAGGCGCTGCCCTGAGAAGGCAAATACCTTCCAATGAATGCCAGCTCTGGACAGCTGGCAGCCCTGGTCACTCTTGCTATAGGCTTCTGGCACCCAGTCTGTTGGGTACTAGCTCCCTCTGGTGGCCTGAGGAGCAGCTGCGCTCCCAACTGAGTGACCAGCTCAGCCCTGACTCATCTTCGTCTATTCCTGTCTGGTGAACCTCCTGTGTGCCTAGCAGATTTGGTGCTGAGGACACACCTGTGACCAGCACAGAGCAGACCCTGCCAAGACAGAGAATAAAGGATATGGAGGGATGAGGAATACAGAATCTGGGGAGAGAGACTTTCAGGCAGAGGAAGAAAGTGTCTTAGTTTGTCTCTCCATTGCTGTGACAAAACACTGACCAATACCAACTTGGGGAGGAAAAGGTTTATTTGTCTTACATATCCCGGGTCACAGTTCACCTGGGAGCCCAAGGTAGGAACTCAGATCAGGAACCTGGAGGCAGGAGCTGGAGCACAGGCCATGGAGAAATGCTACTTACTGGCTTGCTCCCCTGGCCCCTGCTCAGCCTGCTTTCTTATGCAACACAGGCCCACCTGCCCAGGGGTGGCACCACCCACAGTGGGCTAGGCCCTCCCACATCAACAATCAAGAAAATGCCCCTTAGACATGGCCATAGGCCAGTCCAATAGAGGAAATTCCCCAATTGAGGCCCCCTCAACCCAGGTGTGTCAAGTTGACACTAAAGCTATTCAGCACAATTGACCTCTTGTCAACTTGACGCACAAACATCACTATTAAACCATAAACTTTCCAATTTTTGTCCCTAAGATATGATGTTAATATCACAGCATAAGACAGTACAACCTTAAAAACCCCACAGTCCTTTAAAAAATCCAAACACTTAAAAGTCCATAGTCTCTTTTAAAAGTCTCTTAACTGTGGGCTTCTGTAAAATCCAAAACAAGTACTGTCTTATTTCAAAGGGAAGAATTGGGCACACTTAAGCATAAACCTAAGTCCAGCAAAGTAGATTGAAGCTGGACATCTGGGATTCACTCACGATCCTCTGGACTCCAAAGGCTCCACTGCTCTGACTTTGCCGTCCACAGAACACTCAGCTCCTCTCGCAGACCCAGGCCAGCTCCATTACACACCTGCCGCTGTCCTTGGTGGTCGTCCCATGGTCCTGGCATCTCCAAAAAGCTGGGGTCTCCATTGAAACTGAGGCTACACCTTCACCAATGTCCTCTTCTGGCCTCTCGGGGTGCAATGCCTCAGATTCTTTCCATGACCCCTTCAATCCTGGGGTCTTCGCTGCAACTGAAGCTGCACTTTCTCCTATGGCCTTTCCTGGCCTCTCAGAGTGCCAAGCTTCAGCTGCTCTCTATGACCCCTTCACGCTTTCAACACCAGAACCATGCAGGAGACTCTTACACATTACCAAGTCCTGCTTCCAGCTTGAGATAGAGGTGTGGGTCCCCTCTGTGTGCTGACCCTGAGGAAATACCTCCCGGAAGACTTCACCACAGTAATGCTGGTATCTTGTTACTTACAGCTAACCAGCATCAATTGTCCCAGTAAAGCAAAGGTTTTACTTCAGGTTCTGGTCTCTTCTTAATCAACAGCTGATTCTTCAGCTCCAGCCGACCAGAACCCACAGATTATCAATCCAAAATCTCACACGAACAGTCCTGATAGTTTCCCTTTGAAGCTTCACAAGCCAGGCCTCCATTGTCTACAACTCTTTCAGCATAACTGTTTCAAGCTCCACTGCAACAAACTCTGAGCACGCTATGGCTTTTCCAGCCCAAAGTTCGAAACACTTCCACAGTCGTCCCCAAAACACTAAGGTCAGGTCTGTCACAGCAATATCCCACTCTCTGGTACCAATTACTCTCTTAGTTTGTTTCTCCATTGCTGTGACAAAACACTCTGACCACTACCAACTTGGGAAGGAAAGAGTTTATTTAGCTTACAACTCCCAGGTCGCAGTTCATCAGGGAGCCCAAGGTAGGAACTCAGGGCAGGAACCTGGAAGCAGGAACTGGAGCACAGGCCACAGAGGAACACTGCTTACTGGCTTGCTCCCTTGGCCCCTGCTCAGCCTGCTTTCTTATACAACACAGGCTCACCTGCTCAGGGGTGGCACCACCCACAGTGGGATGGGCCCTCCTACATCACTCATCAAGAAGATGCCCCTCAGACATGGCCACAGGCCAGTCCAATAGAAGCAATTCCCCAACTGAGGCTCCCTCAACCCAGGTGTGTCAAATGACACTAAAGCTATCAAGCACAGAAAGAAGGGAGCCAGGGGGGTGTAGATGGGAGGAGAATGGGAGGATCAGCCTGATGAGGGCCAGATAGGGCGAATCCTGGAAAAGACTCAGACTTTAATGCTGGACAAGGAGGGTATCCTTGGAATCCTAAGAAGAAAAATTATGGTGACCTGATCAGAAGGCAAAGTGGACTGGCGTAGGGTGAGCAGGAGAAGCTGGGGTAGCAGTAAGGACAGGTTGGAGACCCAGAGGGCTATGAGACAGATAAGAGGAGATGCTGTGTGGGAGTGCAGCAGGTCTAGTGGGGTCCTGAGTGAATTTATGGCAAGTATGCAAATCAGGAAGTGTGGCCAGAGCGAAGGGAGGTTCAGGCTAGACCAAAGCCCATGGTGATGGAGGACAAGCCAGGGAGAAGGTCCATTCTGGGGGGAAAAAAGGAGTGATGATGTCTCTGGCCAAGTGAGGAGGGGTTCATGGGTCAGGGGCTGCCAAGAGACCAATGAGCTTGCTTGCGCACAGGTTTGGTACATAGAAGTCGCCAGGGCTTAGCAAAGATGATTCAGGAGATAGATGGGGTAAGGCTGAAACTCCACCTGGAGCCACTTTCAGAGAGGATGGGAAGAAAAAACTACCCACCGGGTCCTGGCCAGCCCTGAGCTCCCTGCTCCTGCCCCACCTCAGGTGCTGCCTCTGCCCTGCACGGCCCCGATTCGCCCCTGGAGTCACCATTGAGGAAGACAACTGTTGTGGTTGCAATGCCATCGCCATCCGCCGCCACTTCCTGGATGAGAACATGACTGCGGTGGACATCGTTTACACCTCCTGTCATGATGCGGTGAGGAGCCAGGCGGGGACACACAGAGCTGGGGCCTGAGTTCTGTGCTAGGCCACTGGGGGCCCAGGCCACCAAAGCTATCCGTGAAGGCCAGCGGGGTCAACTGTAGCTTCCAAAACACCTCCAGTGGGTGGTCCAGAGGTGACCCCCTCCTTTTTGGTACCCTAGGCCTGCACTGCCTTGAGCTAGCTGGGGAAGTGGGTGCCACTTCCACTAGGCATTGAGGCCTCTATGTCCAGCTTTAAGGAAATGGAAGAAGCAGGGAAACCCCAGGGAGGGGCAGCAAGCCAATTGGGCTCATAAATGGCTGCCTGAGGCAGATGGGAGTGGGAAAGCAGGGGACCAAGGAATCTTGGCAGATGTTTAGGGGCCCTGTGAGTGGGAAGGACACTAGCTTCAGTCACATTCCCAAGTCTGGCACTATCCAGGGGCCACTTAGGCTCATGAGCTGCTCAACCCCTAGGTCTATGAAACTCCCTTCTATGTGGCAGTGGACCATGACAAGAAGAAGGTGGTGATCAGTATCCGTGGAACCCTGTCCCCTAAGGTATGCTCCCATGGCTCCCTCCACAGGCCCAAGTGCCTGTCTCCTCTGCCTGTCCTTGTCAGCTGCCCCTCACCTGCCTTTCTTCCCAAGGATGCCCTGACTGACCTGACAGGTGATGCTGAGCGCCTCCCTGTGGAGGGACATCGAGGCACCTGGCTGGGCCATAAGGTATCAATCTTGTGCACCTGAGGGCCCCTCGCCTTTACTCTGACCCCCCCCCCGCCACCCCAGCATTCAGTACCTGCAGTTGGGGGTCTTCTCTGATCACTGTGCCTTTGGCAGAGATCACCCAGAGGGGTGTGGTTTAGTCTAGAAGGTTCATGCAAGCCTGCCTGCCCCAGGCTTGGGGTGGGGGTCGTCCCCAGAAGCATCATGGGAAAGTAACTGGGGAAAAGTCATACCAGCTTCTGTCAGGCAAGCCTCCCTCTATGCCTCCATTTCCTCATCTGTGAAATGGAATTGATATAAACAAGGTAGTACCCACCAGCCTCCAAAGCCTGTTTGTCAAGGGGTAAAGGGGAGCAGCTGGGGTCACTGGCTGTGATGGTCCCCAAGGCCCCTCACCAACCTGCTCTGTTCCTCCGGGCTAGGGCATGGTGCTGTCAGCAGAATACATCAAGAAGAAGCTGGAGCAGGAGATGGTCCTATCCCAGGCCTTCGGGAGAGACCTGGTGAGGTGTCTTCCGTGCCATCCAGCCCTGGAAAAGAGGGGTGAATGATGGCACCTCCCCTCCCCAAAGCTGATTCCTGTCCCTCTCTCACCTGCTCCCAACCCCTTCTCGTTTCACTTCAGCCCTGCCCTTCAACCCCCACCCCTCTCCTCAGAGTGCCCTTTCTTAGAATCCTGGTGCTCTACCCCAATTATTAAATGTCTGGTCTGTGCCAGGCTCATAGTCAGGACCACTAGTTGAAGGAAATTTTATAAAGATGCTCAAAATGCAGAGCCCAGAGATAGTCACAGATCTGGTAGAAGAAGGCTGGTACTCAGCTGGGTGGTGGGCTAAGCCAGCCCAGCTACCACTCCCTATATGGGCAGCCCCTGAGGGTGCTGCCAGCCCCTGTTCCCAGGTCTCACAAACTCTAGGCTAGTAGTCAGGGTAGAGGGAGGGGACTAGGCAACCAAATAATTATTATATGTATTATAACACTAGAGTGCATTTTAAAAATATATTATTTATGCTGGGCGTGGTAGTGCATGCCTTTAATCCCAGCACTTGGGAGACAGAGGCAGGCAGATCCTCTGTCAGTTCAAGGCCAGCCTGGTCTACAGAGTGAGTTCCAGGCAGCTGGAGCTACAGGGAGACCCTGTCTCAAAAAAGACCCCCCCAAATTTTTTTATTTATTGTTTTTATTTTATGTGTGTGAGTATATTGCCTGCATGTATGTGAGTGCACCTGTAAAAGACCCCAAAGAAAAGTAGCCAGTTTCTTGGCTAAAACTCACAGTGCGCTTGGGACACTTAGCAACATACTCCGTTCCAAAGGCCAAAAACGTCAAAAATATTTGGGAGCTTTTATCTAATCCTTAAAAGATTTTAGGGTTACCTCTTCAGAAGGGGGAATGTTAGAATAGCCAAAAGCCCCACAAAAAA